TGGGCAACAGATATCTTTAACTCTGAAGCAGAGTTTGTACTAATTCCTTTATCTTCTGACAAATAAATTAATATATTAAAATAATTTATAAGAGAACTATAATGGACTTTGTACTCCCTTCTATCAAAGGTATGTGACAGATGCCACAGTGGCAATCTTTGTTGCCATTCTTCTCTTTGTTCTGCCCGCTGAACCTCCACGTTTCTGTAAAAGGAGGTCTCAAAGTTTTGATACAGGTGAGACATCAGTACAGAAGAATGCAAGTTGTTTAACGCTTTACAAAAAATATTTAACTCATCAAATCTACAGCTTTGCGTCAGTCTTCTGGTTCAACACCACGGCTCCTAACCTGGAAAGCCGCCCAGAAGAAGATACCATGGGGAATTCTGCTTCTCCTTGGAGGAGGTTTCGCTCTTGCTAAGGGAAGTGAAGTGAGTGGAAAGAACAGTTATATTGCGTACAGAAAAAATATGTCATTTTAGAGTACATTATTTTACATAATGTTTTGCAATGTAACGTTCCAATATGTTACATCACATTATACAACATTTTTATATCACATTACATTATGTTATGTTCAGCTATGTTATACTACATGAAGTTGTTTAACTTGATATTGCATTACATTATGCTGTGTTAAGCTATGCTGCATAACGTTATGCTGTGTTAAGGGAGCTGTGGTACTTCGGTCTATCAGTGCCTTGGTCTTGTAATCCTGAGGATGTTACGCTGAGTGACGTTACGCTGAGTGACGTTACGCTGAGTGACGTTACGCTGAGTGACGTTACGCTGAGTGACGTTATGCTGAGGGATGTTACCTCGAGGGGCGTTACGTTGAGTGGCGTTACGTTGAGTGGCGTTACGTTGAGTGACTTTACGTTGAGTGACGTTACGCTGAGTGACGTTACGCTGAGTGACGTTGCGCTGAGTGACGTTACGCTGAGTGACGTTACGCTGAATGACGTTACGCTGAGTGACGTTACGCTGAGTGACGTTACGCTGAGTGACGTTACGCAGAGGGACGTTACGTTGAGGGACGTTACAACGAGAGACGTTATGCTGAGGGACGTTACGTTGAGGGACTTTGCGTTGAGGGACGTTACATTGAGTGACGTTACGCTGAGTGACGTTACGCTGAGTGACGTTACGCTGAGTGACGTTACGCTGAGTGACGTTACGCTGAGTGACGTTACGCTGAGTGACGTTACGCGGAGTGACGTTACGTCGAGTGACTTACGTCGAGTGACGTTACGTCGAGTGACGTTACGTCGAGTGACGTTACGCCGAGTGACGTTACGTCGAGTGACGTTACGTCGAGTGACGTTACGCTGAGTGACGTCACGCTGAGGGACTTTACGCTGAGGGACGTCACGCTGAGGGACGTTACGCTGAGGGACGTTATGCTGAGGGACGTTACGCTGAGGGACGTTACGCCGAGGGACGTTACGTCGAGGGACGTTACGTCGAGTGACGTTACGCCGAGTGACGTTACGCCGAGTGACGTTACGCCGAGTGACGTTACGCCGAGTGACGTTACGTTGAGTGACATTACGTTGAGTGACGTTATGTTGAGTGACGTTACGTTAAGTGACTTTACGCTGAGGGACGTTACGCTGAGGGACGTTAAATTGAGGGACGTTACGCTGAGGGACGTTACGCTGAGGGACGTTACCTCGAGGGACGTTACGCTGGGGGACGTTAAATTGAGTGACGTTACGCTGAGTGACATTACGCTGAGTGACAGTACGCTGAGTGACGTTACGCTGAGTGACGTTACGCTGAGTGACGTTACGTTGAGTGACGTTACGCTGAGGGGCGTTACGCTGAGGGGCGTTACGC